CCCCCCCAACACACACACACACACACACACACTCCCTTTTTCTGCATATGTTGGTACAGTAATGAAAATAGTGATGCATTTTGCTGTGTGCATGCAGGATTTCAAGCTCTTGAAGGATTGTATTATAGGACTTGGTTACACAGGTAAGTACTTTTTAAAGTTACTGTAGATTCGAACATCTGTTATCCTATGCTATTGCAATTTGAAACTCTTTACAAAGCAGAGAACTTTATGCTATGGGAATCCCGTAAAGTTGATCCTTTGCTTACTTCTAATACATGTGGGCATCTTCTTGTACTGGAATGTGCTTTTGATGGGTAAAATAGGAGAAAGTCAAAATTCTCTTAGCATTGTTGGATAGTAGGACAAAGAATATTCCTAGATGAGCAACCTAAAGTTTTGTGATATAACAATTACAGCTTGCGATTCTTCTGACTATAAAAGAGACTCTTAAACAATGTTAAATGGACTTGGGGCTGGGTAGTTCACTTGCATTTCAAAACACGCTAAATATGTGCTAAATTCAATGTACATGTACTGGATAAATGGCCGATCCTAAGTAACAGGGTTCTTTGGTGATGGGGGAGGTTAGGATAGATTCATACCTGAAGGATAGCCATGACGAAGCTGGAGATACACATGGAATACTAGGTCCAACAAAGGCAACCTTTCTCGTCCATCAGATGACAGAAAATGACCATAGCTTCATCCTGAATAAGATGGACCAAGAGCTTGTGGGCCTATGAGGTGAATGTTCATCTAATCATCCTCCAAAAAATTGTAACTATGAAGAAAGAATCCTGTTCTGTGGAGCTAAAGTTGTAGCCTCAACAGTCAAAATGATCAAAGCTCTACTAGGAATTGGTTAAGAGAAATGGGGGAATAAGAAATCCTCATATTGTAACTTTGTAAGAAAGAATTGACATCAAAATAAGCTGAAGATAAAGATGGATGGCGATACTTGGGAGATCTCCAGATATTCCAGTTCTATCTACAAATTCTTAAAATGGTCATATGGTATTTTCTGCCCCCTCAACTGGCCTTCATCTCTCTTATTTTTCCTCTCTTTTCTTTCTTCTGGTAATAGTGTTATCCTTCTTTTAATATTAAAATGAAGTTCACATATCCAAAAAAAGGTATAGAGGAAATTGAATGGAGCTCATATCCTATACCAGTATACTGATTCATTAGCAGAAATTAGGAGTCTAGGAAAGTTTACCACTGACCAAGCCCAAAGGTACCCTGTTTGTGTTTGATTACATGCTACACACCTACACTTGAAATGTCTGTGCCGTTTCTTCCTTATTCAGATGTAGAACACTTTACTTGTGTTATCATGAAACCAACTTATGGTGGACAAAACATGTAACCTTTTTTGGATACCCACATGGTTCATTTTGTTAATTTAGCTTCGTCTTCCTTTAGAATGCTTCTTTATTTTAAAATCTGGCCAACCCTTACACCTGTTAAGTTAATGTGAATTCTACTTCATTTTTTTACTGAATTCAAGTGTAACAAGATAATATCTAGTCAGTTATTAACTGGTATTCTTCTGCTCGCCCACATAAATATAGTGGACAAAGGGTTATTGTGCAGGAGAGAAGTGGTGATCAGGACCAATTTGTTGATACTGTAGTCACCATTCAGGTTTGTTTGAGTGGAATCTCTCAGTTACTTTTCCTAAGATATAAACTTTTATTGGGCACCATTCAATTTTCAGTATTACGCCTTGTCTATTTCTTTTTTTTTTTTTAAGAATATGGTAACTATTTGAATCTGAGTTCAAATCTAGTACGGCTGCTTCTTCACAGCAATATGTCATTTAAACTCCAACAGGTATATCTTCTAGTATGCTTTGCAGATAACATATTAAGGTGCATGGAAAGGGGAATCCACCTGATAGTACTGTGCAGTTACAATGTGGTGGTTTTTTGGCGGAGCTTTTGGGTGTTTTAGCATAGGCCTTATGTCAACGGCTTCCATTCAATCTTTCTCTTAGGGTTATCTGAATGGAAGACTGAAATGGCCACTTAAGCACTTGAAACTGGTAAAGGATTTCTAACAACGGGTAACACAATGAGTTTCCTAAAATTGTTCAAAACTTGAATAAATGAATAAACACATTAATCATCTTTTCTTAGTTCAATGGATAAAATGAACAAAAGATCAGCGGTCTGCCCAGAGAAAAGGACCTTTGGTCTAATTCAATTGGTGTATGCTAAATTCTTTCCTAACTAAATTAACAAAAAGCGACAAACGAGATTTGCTGAAGCTGTATGACTCAAGGATTGTATGAAAGCTTGTCAAAAACAATTATCGACGATTTTCTTGTAAACTTACAAGATCTGTTACTTAGGTTTTATTGTTATAAATATAGTTATTAAAACTTAAATTTGTGACTAATTCATGATCGCATAGAATTCTCGTCTTTATTAATGCATTTGATAAGTCCTTAATTTTCTTTAAAAGCTAGACTCGCTTAAGGTAACAACTAAAACCATCGTAAGGTTCTCTTTACTAACAGTTCCTTTATTTTAATAAGCTTACAATTAGGATGCTGAGAAACGCCTGTGAAGACAAACTTCTTTTGCAAAATTATACCAACCAATTAAACGTCAAAGGAATGTGTGAAAATAATGTTTATTCATTATAAAGCTCAATAATTATAAATCTAAGATCTGAAATTGTTAATTGCATAAAGTTGAACATGTTCAGAGGGAATGAGCTGTCCTTGCAGTGAATCTGAAGCTGGTACAATAAGCAGATATGCATAGTGCTTTTAATCCAAACTAAGATTGAATTTCATCTTGGTACCTTTTTGTGGTTCAGCCGCAACCATTAGAATTTCCTTTTTTCTCTAACTTTATATTAACATTTTTATTATATTATATTATTTTAGTTGCGGTAAAGTGCATTATCGCCCCCCTCATTTTTCAAACGAGCAGTTCGATCCTCATTCTTTTTAGTTTGTTCCAAAAAAGAATGGCAGCTTTCTATATGTGAAAATGATTTAACTTTAGACTTCCAATTTTCAATTTTACCCTTAATGACATGCTTTTATAACCACAGAGATGTCATGGTATGTTTAATTGTTTATGACCACAAGTTTCAAAAGTATTTTTTTCTTTCTTAAACTCTGTGACCAATCAAACGGTTCCACATGAATAGACACGGAGGGAGTAATTAGAAAGGAAATTTGCCATAAAAGCGCCTAAGTGCAGCTAATAGCCCCTTTGAATTGGTTCTAGCAAAACACTTGAAGGAGGTTATGGGACAATCAAGCCTTCTTGTAACTGTGACTTTGATGGGTTCCTTTCCTGTTGCTTGAATGTTTGAACTGTTCCCTTCTTCACCTGCCTTCTAAAAATGATTAAAAAGGAAGCTGAACTATACCTTTTGAATCAAGTTAGTAATTCAGTTGGAAAGTCAATTTAATCAAGTAGCTTCATAAACATTCAGGCAATTAAAGTTGATGTGATAATATTCGACAGTTTCACTTAAATATGTATAAGCTACCTAGAAACTCCCATATGTCTTTAGTCAACTCTTTATTTCTTCTTTCAGTAATACGATACTATTACCAAAAAAGGAAATAAAATAAGCTTCTTTATTGATACGTCAAAGTATTTGGGAGACTTTGGGGAATGCCGGTGAGAATGGAGTGTGGAACGTCGTGAGGAGGGGTTCGGCGAGGGTGCTAGCAAGTTGCTTTTCCACAATGGCATGCTTTTATGCTAAGGGGAAAAAGAAGGTTTTGGGTGTGAAGGGGTTCTATAGAAATTAAATATTCATGTTTTTCTTATTTTCTAATGATTTTACTAAATCCTGATATGTCTCTAATTGTGTTTGTGTTTATTGCAGAATAGGACTAAAAGTTTCTTTCTTTCTTTTTTTTTTGGCTTCATGTTGGGAGTTTAAATGTGGACTTTGCTCCTAAGACACCAAGAAACTGTGTATGCTTAGGAAAATTTAAGGAGTTGTGCAATTTACAAGTTACCTAATATATTTTCCCATTTAGTTCTCAATTTGATTTTCTTACCCGATACATTATCCATGGGTTAAACTGGATTCAACATCCTGGGTTAGAGAGAAGTATAAGAAACTGTACTGTTAGCCAAGATGAATTTGGATGAAAGATTTCTGAATAGATATAAAGCATCTCATACAAGAGAGGTTATGAATAGCTATGTTGCTCGGACTCTCCGAAAATGTTGTTGGGTGCGTGTCGGATCCTCCAAAAATAGTGTATTTTTGGAGGATCCTACACGGGTGCGGTATCATTTTGGAGAGTCCGCGCAGCATAGATGAATAGCTGCCGCTTATTCTTGTGAAGGGGGTAGGAAACCTGTAGAGCTCTATGTTTACTGTTAAATGTTTGATTTTTATACTTCCCTTCCATAATAGGACGTGCATCACTCTTTACTTTATGCTTGTGATAATGTTGATTATTATTCTTCGTATTGTCACTCAGCCGAAGCATGCACCCTTGTCAATTATATGAAGTGTGCACACTTTGAAGTTTTGATTGGTGACCACATATTTTCATACTTTATCTTAGGTGTCCTTGCTCTAGTAAACCGCCTTGTCCGTGTAATTGTTACATAAACAGATCATTCTACTTTCAGGGTTTGACATCCTCAGGGTACTTATTAGGAATCACAGATGATGGTCAAATGTGTGAGCTACACCCAGATGGCAACAGGTTTGTCTTGAGCTAAACATGTTAACGTTTGCCTATCATATCTTTTCAACTCGTTTTGCAGAAAATTTCTCAACTGACTTTGGACAAAGAAAAAAATGTTGATATGGACCAATTTTAGTGTTCCTTTGCCAATACTTAATTATTGGGTGGATATCAATACTTGATTTGCTAGTGCTTCTTTTAAGGCGTCATTTGTTTGTTTTTTTAACGATTTAACCGTTTAATGGGTTTGAATAGATCTGGATCATTCAGCTCTTCAACATTGTCTTAATATTATTAAAAGGTTCATCAAAAGAAATTGCAAAGAGGTTTTTCACCACCACTCTATCCACAACCACCACTAGCCACCAGCCACTACACAATGACCATCAACCAGCACCACGACTGCTCGCTACTAGGGGTGGCAAATGGGCGGTTTCGGCTGAATTTGGGCGGGTGAAGATGGGTTAGGTCAATAAATGGGTCATTGCCCAACCCAGCCCAAAGTGTACTTGGGCTAAGATGGGCTGGGTCAAGATGGGCTAAACAATGGATCATAATCCAACCGCCCAACTTGACCCATATTTTAGAACCATGCTCATCTTGCATAAAAAAGCTTTTTACCTTAATATGTGTAAGTTGAAAAATATTTTGCGGGTGGGGGTGGGTGGAGCAGAAAAACGAAAAGACAGAAAATTAAAAATACAAAAAAAAAAAAAGTAAAAGAAATTTTTTTTGAGGGGGTTTGCGCGGTTGAAAATACAAAAAAAAAGTATTTTTTTTTTTGAGCGGGTTTGCAGGGGGGGGGGGGGGGGTTCGGGGTGGTGCAGAAAGTTGAAAATATATAAAAAAAAAAAGGTAAAATTGAGGCAACTAAGTAAATTTCTAGATAAGTTGTGTTGAGATCCTTTTGTTTTGGGTGAGTTTCATGGTTTGTATTTGGGCTGCTTAATGGGTCAGAATGGGATTTAAAGATAATGGGTGAAATTAAAAAATAGCCAGATTTACAACTGGTCGTTCAAAAATAGCCCAGTTTCAAAAGTAATCGAAATTTAGCCACTTTTCATGTAAAGATAAATCTGAGCGAAAACACTGTTCAAAACCCGGAAAAATACGCCAGTATATTATGCTGGAGTTCCAGCATAAGTATACTTGAACTCCAGCATATTATACTGGAGTTCCAGGATAAGTATGCTGGAACTCCAGCATAATATGATGGAGTTCCATCATAAGTACACTAGAACTCCAGGTCCAGCATAATATATTGGAGTTTGGAGCACTGGTGCTCCAGTCTCCAGTATATTATAATGGAGCCAGCAAAGTATACCGGTGCAGCATAATATGCTGGAGTTCATACACAGGTGCATCGAACTCCAGTATATTATGTTGTAGCGGTCTCTGTTACAGCAAAATAGTGGTTATTTTTTATTGACTTGGTAAATGCTGGCTATTTTTGAATGATCAGTCCGAAAACTGGCTATACCGTGCTATTTTGACAAAGATAATGGGTTAACTTGGGCTCAACCCAAATTGACCCATGAGCTAAACCAGCACCACCACCAACCAGCACCACCACCAACCCACCTCCATCACAATCACCACCACTATCGCCAACCACCACCACCACCGCCACCGCTACCACCAACCACCACTGCTACTCCTACAACACCAATCACCTCTACCATCACAACTATCTCCATTGCCAACCACCATTGCGGCAGCTACTAGTACCTACCAATACCCGCCACTACCATCAACCATCACCGCTACCGCTACCGCTACCACCAACCACCTCCACCATCACAAGTGCTACCACTGCCAATCACCGCCATCACCTCCATTACTGACCACCCCTACCTTCCACCACCACCGGCGACTACTACCAACTACCTCCACCATCACAACCATTTCCATCGCACAACCGCACCAATGTTACCACTTCCAACATCACCGATACCACTTCTATCGTACAACAACCACCGCCACTAGCCACTACTGCCAAATTCCACCAGCCGCCCACCACCAACTATTGCCTTACAACCTACTAATTTATGGATACAATATTTTAATTATTTTATTTGAACTTTATAATTTAAATTTTTTAATAAAAATAAATTATAAACATTCAAATGTCGAGGGAAAAAATGTTTCTTAGATATGTATTCACATTCAAACATCTTAATCTTTGAAAAAAGGGCCCCAAATGTGCTTGTGTCTGCATGTAGACTACCCTCATCTTATGTTTGTGAATCTTTATAATCACAGAGTCAATATTTTGGTAGTCGTGTTTATTTCTAAGAAACTACTGTCTTAGCTTCTTTTTTACTTCTAAGACACTGATAATGATAATCTTCTTCAGTAGAAGATCGCAGAGAACAAAGGCTGGACTGAGATTGTAGGTGTGGGTAGAAAGAGATGGATGCTTCTGTAATTTTATTTTCATGAAGTTAACAAGTGCTCTTTTCAATTGTTAGATTTAGGTTGTGCAATTTTACCACGCTGCAATCATTGTGAAGTAGATGGAACACGATGACTAGATATACTCTTTTTTAGGCTGTTGACTGAGGTCGATAGTGATTAAGCTGCAAGCCTGCAACTGTTGTTTTGGGTAGCAAAGTGTCCTAACTCCAACTTAAAAGAGGGAATAGTGGAATTCTGTTTCAAACCTATTAGTAGTAAAATTTGTTTGCTGGAAACCAGTGATTCCTACCTAACTTAAAGTTGGTATGATGTCAAAAATTTATGGTATACTCTACTATTCAAACCAAATATGGCTTTAATTCCATGTGGAGAGATCAGAATATTCATGAAAGATTATACTTTTGAAAAACTTAATGCCATAGATCTTAGCCCCTCTAATGAATATTTTGTCACTTCATGCTAAAGATGAATGTGCATTCATTTCAACAAGGTGCTAAATTATTTTGCGTTATTAGGATATTTTAGAAGGGGAGCCTTTGCGTAACTGGTAAAGTTGCTGCCATGTGACCATGAGGTCACGGGTTCGAGCCGTGGAAACAGCCGCTTACTGAAATACAGGGTAAGGTTGCGTACAATAGACCCTTGTGGTCCGGCCCTTTCCTGGACACCGCACATAGCGTGAGCTTAGTGCACCGGACTGCCTTTTTTTTTTAGGATATTTAAATTTGCAGGTGACCAAATGGGAAAAAGGATGAGCTGTTCTTCCATTAAATTTATTTCTGAAGCAAATGGTTTTACTGGGAGTTCATGGCTTCTGATAAGGAACTATCATTGGCTGCTGTGTTTGGTTCTAATTTGTCTAGGTTATTTTTGGCAGTCACGAGCTGTTAGTTTGCTGATAAAACTTAGCATGTATGCTTGGACCATTAGTGGTAATTAACGTTGTTTTATTCATTGGATGCAGTTTTGACTTCTTCAAAGGGCTTATCAAAAGAAAAATGAGCTGAAGGAAAGCACAGTATGATTTCTGCCTGCATATGGTGACTTTTAACTTTTTTTAAAAAAAGGCACTATTTAAACCCCACACACAGAAAGAAAAGTCTTTCGGTTTCTGTTTTCAATTTTCGGGGCAGTTGCTTTTTCCTCTGAAGAATCTAGAACTACTTATTACTTCAATGATTTATTTTGTTCAATTAGTCTAAAAAAAAATTGAGGAGGAATAATTCTTTGTTAGAGCAGCTCCTTAGCCCTGCTGCAGACTTATTAGCATGAGGACTTTGAGGTGCAAACCACAGAGAAATAGTGACAGAGGAGTTTAAACATTAATTACAACTATGCTTTAGTTTCAAATAAGTTAGGGTCAGCTATATGAATCACCACTTATCCATTTAAATTCAATTCATATAATTATCATATTGTTAGAGGAGTATGATTTATCAAAATATCTCCATCGGCAGGCTAAGGTATAAGAGATAACAATGTCGGGATAAGATGCAAGATTATTTTATCACGCATTTGGTTATAGGAATTAATTAGTCTCAGGAACCATTTTGTATTAAAATGGTGGAATTAACTATCCCATATAAAAGTGCAATAGTTTATCCCATGGGATAAATATCCTTGTCTATCACATACCCTTAACCAAATGACTGTTGGTCTGCTGCTAAGGAGATTTAATTTTCACAAAATATCCAGCATTTTATTAGAATAATGTATGGTTATTACTTCTTGTATCATCATAAATAATATATGCATAAGTTATGGGGTGATTCATGCATTATTTTATGTGAAAAAGAATGTGAGATGAAATGCAGGTATTAGTATTTAGTAATACATTGATTAAAACAAAACTCTCTCTTGTAGTAGCAAACTTTTATTTTCTTTAAAAAAGTAAACACATTTTAATTGTAAATTGTATAGTAATTCTAATACATCAAACAAGCATCCAAGGAGAAATAATACCTTATTATAATCACTGTATTACAATTATGCATTATTAATTCATCCGCATGCAGGGGTTTGATTTAGTAATGCCATAACATATGAGTGGTGGATAAATTTTAAATAGAGAAGGACAAAGTGATGGATCCACATCCACTATTCAACTGCATTTTGAACTAACCTTGGTAAATATCTTAATTATTAAACAAGATTCATGCATTATTAATTTTTGCTTTAACTTGGGGAGAAATTAAAAAATAGTCAGATTTACCACTGGCCATTGAAAAATAGCCAAGTTTCAAAAGTCATTGAAATTTAGTCACTTTAAATCTGAGCGAAAACACTGTTCAAAATTCGGAAAAATACGCCCGCAAATTTTACGGGAGTTCCAGGATAACTATGCTGGAACTCCTGCAAATTTTACGGGAGTTCAAGCATAATTATGCTGGAACTCCTGCAAATTTTACGGGAGTTCCAGCAAGTATAATTGTCCAGTATAATATACTGGAGTTTGGAGCACTGGTGCTCCAGTCTCCCGCAAATTTTACAGGAGTTAGCAAAGTATACCGGTCCAGCATAATATGCGGGAGTTCTGGTGCATTTGTGTACGAACTCCAGCATATTATGATGGACCGGTATACTTTGCTAACTCCTGTAAAATTTGCCGGAGACTGGAGCACCAGTGCTCTAAACTCCAGTATATTATACTGGACAATTATACTTGCTGGAACTCCCGTAAAATTTGCGGGAGTTCCAGCATAGTTATCCTGGAACTCCCGTAAAATTTATGGGAGTTCAAGCATACTTATGCTGGAACTCCCGTAAAATTTGCGGGCGTATTTTTCCGAATTTTGAACAGTGTTTTCGCTCAGATTTAAAGTGGCTAAATTTCGATGACTTTTGAAACTTGGCTATTTTTCAACGACCAGTGATAAATCTGACTATTTTTGAATTTCTCCCGGTTTTAAACTATATCCGATTCAGTATGTTGTTTCTGGTGATATCATGTCGCCAAATGGTACTAACAGATCTAGTAATAGTATATAGTTATGATGAATAATTGCTTGACGTGACTGGTTGGAATCATTCAGCCAGCTATAATAAGGGGCAACTGCCATCCATTAAACCAGATCGAGGTACAATTATATATGGTGCTACAGTTAATTTTCCTTATAGAGGATACATCTAGTGTGGGTAAAGAATGACCACAACAACTAAAGAAGAAACGTAAAAAAAGCACGGGCTAGCCAGTTATCGGAGTGGTCATTTAAAAATAGCCAGTGTTTGCAAAGTCATTGAAAAATAGCCACTATTTTGCTGCAACACGGAAAGTTCCAGCATAATATACTGGAGATCGGTGCACCTGTGTATGAACTTCCAGCATATTATGCTGGAACTCCAGTATAATATACTAGAATTTCAGTATTTATACTGGAGTATTTTTCCGGATTTTGAACAGTGTTTCGTTCAGATTTATCTTTACATGAAAAATGGTTAAATCTCGATTATTTTTAAAACTGTGGCTATTTTTGAATGACCACTTGTAAATCTAACTATTTTTGAATTTCGGCTACTCAAACAAGTCATTGTGTCTTCTCTCTTATAACAACCTTCCACGACTCAGAAAACCCACGTTAAAGAGATTTAGTTTTCACGTAAAATTCAGCCGTCGGAAATTATTACTAAAATTGAAAGAATTACAGCCCATATCACTTAGCTTAATCGTCCAACCGAAAATGGCCCACATTTGAAGCTCTTACCCTATTTAGCCCATGTTGTACATAACTTGAAAAAAACTTTTCAGCCTTTAGCCCACTATTAAAGACATACTTTTAGGGTTCTTATTATTTTCTTCTTTCTTCATTCCCTTCTCTCTCTCACCGCCTCTCACTTCTTTCTTTCTAACCCACATAGATCCCTCATTCTCTCTTAACCTAGCCCTCGCTATTCCCCCTGCTCTATCCCCACACAGTTCTGCCATTAATGGCTCGAAGGAGGCTCGAAGAAAGACTCCGTCGTCTATGGTGGCAAGCAGAAGAATGAAGAAGATTTTTGAAAGAAACATGAAAATACACACAGATCTGAAAATAAATAGCTCTCAAACTTGATTTGCACCAAAAAATAACCACTAATGTTGGAAGATTTTGAAGTTTGAAGTTCTGATCATTATTATTATGACCTTGAAGTCTCGAATCTGAAATTGAGTTTGGATAAAAATCATAACTATGTAGCAGTTTGTATCAACACTGTATACTAATGTATAATTGTGTATATGGATATACAAACACCTCTTATACACTATTATACATGTTTATACAAAGTTATACAGTATTGTATAATTGTGTATAAATGTGTATATTTGTGTATAATATTGTATAATTATATATTTTTTCAGTTTATAAGGATGTATATACATTGTTAGTGTGTAAGAGGCCTCTACAGAAGTTTGACACTTCCTTATCTTCTTCTTTTTCGTGTAATGTGTTGTATGAGCGTTGGAGGGATTCTACAATTCATTTACCAAGTTTTTATTTTTCTTTTATCCTGTTGGATTGCTTCAGCAATTGCACATAAAAGTGTTTGAATTTCTTACCTTCAGATAATACGTATTATTCTGGATTTTTGAGTTGCGTTGTGGCTGATTTGCATTTTTTTATCAAATTCTTAATAATCAAAGGAAATCAACAGAATGAAAATAACTGGTTGTATACAGAGGGAGCAAAATAAACTGTCTTTCGGGAATTAGCCTATTATTTTTTGAGCTATAGATTTGCAAAGTGGTATCTAGACTATTATGTTGCAAGTCAGGTGTGTGAGTTGTATTTATGTGAAATTATTTCTGAGTAGAGTCCGTTGTCAAAAAATAGTTAAATAATAAATATTTTATTTACTTAATTTAATTCTAACGAATATTTTCTAACGTTGGAAAAAGTAGCAGTAAATTCTTTTCCTGAATTGGCTCAGTACTCTTCCGACGGACGCTAACCGCCAGTAAGATAATATTTGCTATTACTAACAAAAGGTGGTCAGAAATTGTTGTTGCTGTTCTAACAGAATTTCATCCTTCATAAAATACTCTTCCGGCGGACTTTAATTTGATGGTTAACCGCTACTACGATTGCTATTTATTTATTACCAACAGAAGAAGCAAATGCTGTTGTTGGTGTTCTATTATAGCATCATCCTTTAAAATTCTGATAGTATTTGAAGAATTACAACTATAACCTAATTTATTGTGCTACGTCTTCACACATAATCTACAATTATTGCAAGGCATCCGTCTTACATTAAATTTTACATTCAACTAATTACAATATTTGATACTAGATTGTACAAATATTTTCATGCTAGACCTGTTGGCCCAAGTGAAGGATAGTTTTGAAGATTGACAACGGACACTCAGGCATGAACCAGGTCCATCCCCTGTGTGCATAGAAACGGCAGATTCGAGCATGCGGGATGCACGTGAAGGAGATAAACTTAACTTGGCATAATTGATATCTTCAGATCGAAAAGGTTGCATAATTGATAAGGAGGACTCCTTACTCAAAGAGAACACCATCCAAGATAGGGAAGGAGTTAGAAATTGAGATCAACTAGAAATCTTCTACCATTAGACTAGTTATTTCTTCATCTACTAACTCTATAAATTGCAGGATATTCTCACTTTACAGGTGACGTACAAACGTAGAAGTTAAACGTGAATTAGAGCAAAATAACAAGGCTTTTTGCAAAGCAGTTCGTGTGTGATTCAAGTGTGCAAATCTGAAGCTACATGAACTAGATAAAAGAACCAGTTCCAAGTGTTTTTCTTTTATTCTAGTTCAATTGTAGTAGTTGTTTTCATATTGTACCTTTCAGCTTTATCTAGATGCAATTGTAAATAGATACTCAAAGTATTCAAGTTAGAGTTAACTTGAAGTTAGAGCTAACTTGAAGTTGTCGTAACAATTAGAGCATGTTTGCCACAACGGGATTAGAGTTAATCCTAGGTTTACAAAAGTATTTTGTAAATGCAGTTTTTGGTCAGCGATTTAGTGAAAAGTTTCGGAAAATCCTACTGGAAAGTAGGTCATGATTTTTTCACCTTTTGAGTCAGGTGTTTTCCACGTAAAATACTTGTATTCTTTACTTTTCGCATTTACTATTTCAGCAATAGTAGGTTAAGGAACACTTAGAAGAACCAGGTCATTCCATAATCAGTTTAAGCGAAATACTGGAGACCACACAAATCGTCCCCCCCCCCCCTCTTGTGTGGTATTGAGTTAAAACATCAATTGGTATCGAAGCGGGTTATCTTTGAAGATGCTAACACCTTAGGAACAAGATCAAGATGAGCGCACCACCTGGAAAATGGGAAGGGCGATCCACTGCTAGGCCACCACTCATTAATGGCCAGTACTAGTCTTGGGGGAAAAACAGGATGAGATATCACATCATTGGAGAAGACCATGAGCTACGGGACATTG